GCGTACTTAGCTGGAATTTGTTTCGACTTTGGCGCGCGCGTATTGTCCGACCTCGCAAAGAGCAGCGGGTGTTATACGACGTCAGCGTAAAACCGTCCTTGCGGCTCGGTTCGAAACCACACGCAATACATCCTTGGTAATTTCAAACTTTCGGTATATCTGTCGGATTCGCGGATCCTCACAATGGCCGATGAAAATTCTCCCCGTACGGTCGTTCTCTCGCGCGAATTTACGCGGCCTACACTGTTTTCCCATTGAAAAGTTATACCTCCTCGGCGAAAGTTTCAATGGTTTTCGTTAATTACCGGGCTACCGAGCGTCCGTGCGAGCTATAAATCGTCGGTCGAGTCTACGGCGGTGCTTACCGCCGGCTTAAAGGACTTACTATGCAAAAGCGTGCCGCAAAATGTAATTTGCGAAACGCGGTTAGCTCAATCCGCAAAAATGCCTAAACTTTCCAGCTGAGGTGTGTCTAATCTTATTGCTTAATTTTATTCAAGTTTATTTTATTCAATGTACAGCACCAAAGTGGCGCGTTATCATTATTATTTAATTTATCAATATTTGTTTTCATTTTATAAAATATATATATCAGATATGTAATTCTCTTATCTCTATTTGGCGAATTTGTAAATCATACGAATTCGCGCGAAAGTGTCAGCGACACATTAGTCATTCTATTAAACTCTATTAAATTATAAATATCGTAATAGCTGGCTTTGATGTCGCGTTATATATATAAAACGAGCTGAGCGCGATTACTGTCTTGAATACAAATTCACGCATGGAGAAATGACCGAGTTCGCTCTCTATTAATTACCCGACGATGTCCGGTACGATGGAATGCCAGTCCCACGTATAAATTATCACGAGGATGGTGGCTTCCTAGAGAGAAGGCAACGTTCCCGAATTAGAATTCCGTTTTCGCTTCGTGGTTCGGAAAAGTCGTTGCCGCAACTTTAAGCGGAACTTGGAAGTCGTGTATTTTCATTTGGACGGAAGCGACAACCAAGAATTTCACTGATCGCTGGTGTAAAAATCGCTTTTTTTATATTTTCTAAGCATCTGTTACAATAACGAGAAGTTGAAATAATAGAGACAATCACGGTAAAAGCGCCGAAGCGTCTCGTCAGTAATCAATTAAGTTCGTCACCGTGTAATTACGATTATACACACGAGGTAGCCTCCAGTCCGATTAATTTAATTACACGCTTAACGTGTAAGCTGGAGGCAAGTAGTATACATATACACACGGTGTACCTTTTATTTATATAAGCAACAGGTAACTTCAATAAGAAGCGTGAAGAATCGTCGGAAACGCTCTTCATCCCGCGCTGATTTTCACACGTCGTCGTCTAACAATCTCGGGTGTTCGCGATATCACGTCGACGCGGTGATCGCGATAAGAACAGTATCATGAACGAAGCTGTACATAGTTGCAACCTTGTACGCGTTTGCACGTATCCTGAGCATGAGAGTGCATTATACACCGCGCGAAAGAAATCCTCGCGCGTCTTGAAAAAAGGAACGACCTTCAACGGTTATTCTATTTTCTCGATGTTCCCGAAGGATACGCGAAATCACGATTGAATGTTAATGGTGGCGTTTGCCGATTTAAGACCGACTTTAAACATATTGCCTTCCTCGTAGCTCATAAAGCTAAGTAAAGCTATTATAGTAAAAAATATTTATACGATTGAATTAAACTGTGAAAAACATGGATCAGAAGTTATACGATAATATCGTAAATCATATATCGTCGAAGCTAAAGACTTAGGTGTGTCACGTGCAATAATAGGTGTTTACATTGAAGTAGGCTTAATCTTCGTAGCATGACGTAACGTTTCTTCATGTTGCGCGGATATCTTGTTACGGAATTATGTCGCGGTTAAGTATATTGCGTCTAATTTTTCATTATGCGCAGGAGAAGCGAGTATTTCCGTCAAGCTTTTATAAAGTTATTTTAATTCCGTAATTCTTTTCATGTTGCTTCTGCAACAATTGCGTGTTTCTCTCGTTTCGACACGTACCGTATCTTAGAGTCGAAGAGGGAGAGAGAGAGAGAAAGAAAAAAATTGTAGGGAATATACATTTTCCATCGAGATCGATAAAATTGACGGTGAAATGCGAAATTTCTCGTTTTCTACAAATATTTCGAGGCGTCGATCACATGTCTCGCGTTGGTAAAGAGCGACCGACAAATGTGACGGCTCTGCGTGCACTTGCATCGAACGTGCATAATCAGTCAACGACCGCGCTAGGCTAAACGCGCACTGCTACTCTTGCGTCAGGGTCGACTCGGCAACGTGTCGTGGAGGTAGGTAGGTGAGTAGTATTGCCTCTCTCTGAGAGCTAGAGCTATTTACCAGCTCTATTCTTACACACGTCAGCATACCCGACGAGAATAGGCATCCGGCCAATGTGTACGTGCCACTAGGCATACTCACGAGATGCATCATAATAAATCGTTATTTTTAATATCAAGTTCACTTTTTATCTTCTCTTTGCTGGAATATGATCAATATACTCTCTGAAAGAGGAATTCTGTATCGAATAAAAAAAGTATATGAATTTTTTTCTTTAATCCAATCTTTGATGCGAATTTTCCAAACAAGATAATATAACAAGATAAGGATAAAATTCCGAATAGATGAACCCTCCGATTTTTTTGAAACTACACTATTTTTTGTATTTTTTAACGCTGATTACAAATATGATAATGAAAATTTGCGACAAGGTCATTTTCAAGGTCAAAACTCAGTATGAGAATATCAGTTTCGGGATATATGAAGAAAAATATTTGGGTGGAGTTCCGAATAGGTGAACCCTCCGATTTTTTTGAAACTACACTATTTTTTGTATTTTTGAACGCTGATTACGAATATGATAATAAAAATTTGCGACAAGGTCATTTTCAAGGTCAAAACTAAAAAAAACTGAAAAAATATAACTTTTTAAATATTATTTCGATAAATATTGATGTAACAAAAAAATGTTTCAAATAAAGGTTGCAGTTCTTAAAAAAATACATCATAATTGAACTTTATTTTTTCCGGCTTCGACCACCAGAGCAATTTTATTTTTTCTCTATATGAGAATATCAGTTTCGGGATATATGAAGAAAAATATTTTCACCATAATATAACGCTATCGCGAATTATAGCGAAACAAACGAGAGAAGTTATAAACAAGAAAATTTAATTTATCTCAGCAGGTTATATCATACATTTTGACCTCTGATGCGTTCGAATTGAATAACGAGTTTCTGGCGTGAAGTAATTGATATGTCCTAGGAATCGCGTGACATCTCACGTCTTCATAAGACAAATCGATCTCGGAGGTCGGTCAATCACGCGGATCTTTCGAGTAGTGTTCTGCCCTGTAACATGCACGAGATGACGACGCCGGGAAGTGATGACACGCGGGCTTTTGTTGACCTAGGTTAGTAGTTTCGTTCGTTGGCGCCGTTGATTCTATTCTTACACGCATTCTTGTCGTACTTAATACATTGTCATCATGATACGCATTATATACAGCTTACAATAAATGGAAACAATGTCGCACGCGTTTGAGATTTTATTGAAATTCTTGCGAAAAGCAAAAGAAAAATATTATAGTCTTTTATACTTATTTATTATTTACATACATACTATGTACTTGTGTGGATGACACGCGTGCGATTTTTTTTTCCTCAATACATATTTTGTAACAGACAATAACAGATAGAGTGATAGAAAAAATATGCAGATTTTAATTATTATCATTAATAATTTGCATGACATGATAAACATACCTTTTTTTTTGTTATGGAATAAATTGGTTGATAAAAGTATTTTTTTTTTTTTATTCTGCTTACAATGTTCATAATAAATGACATCTCGTAAGAGAATATTTTCATAAATAATTCTCAAGTATATATTGCGAACTGATCTTTTTAAATAGACGTATAACGAGTTAAAATCCATTTCGCAATTGCGAGTCTGTGATATTATCGGCAAGATAAAAGAATCGTGTATTTACGAGATACATCAATAAGTGAACTATTTGCTGTATGATCTAGGTTAATAATAGTTTTATTATTATGTTACGTTCCTAAGAAAGAAGTGTTAAGGCTTGTATCAATTAGTTAGACGTTTCTTAATGAGATTCCGACACAAGTGCGCATAATGAATACATTCTCCATCGGCGTAGCGAGCGGACACGAGCGCGCATCGCGTCAGTGAATAGGAGCAGCTATATTCTCGGTAGTATAGTACAGTAAACCCGCATTGCCGGATAAATATACGGTATTATGTAAGTTGTTTGCAAGCCAAGAAACGAAGAGAACCGGTCCACGAATGCTACCGGCTGATATACGTGTGTTATATTGCGCAATAATTGGACGAATTTTATTTAGGCAGGCGCACGGCGTTTAGCCGGGATGACTTTTTATTAATAAAGTCCACAACAAAGCGACAACGGTAGAATAACATCGGAAAATATTGTGAGAGAAGAAAACATTTCTTATTACGAAGATGCAACCGCGTGTACTCGGTTGATAATTCCGTCCCGCGATTATAGGTGTGAAGCTCGATAAGTGAGATCGCTGGCTCGTGAAAATATAAAGGAAATAAATCCATCTTGATTCGATTCGTCTAGATGAGATAAATGGTATTTTTTATCACCAAATTAAACTGTTCAACTTGTTCGCGAAATTCTAATCCTTTGACTGATCGTCGTCGTCCTCAGGCAATGAAATCGTTGCGATACCAAATGCACACCCATGTTTCTAACTAATGGAATAGCTCGCAAACCTTTAACGTCAACGAAGATCCCGTTTAATAGCTCCCCCTTTTGCCATCGTATCGTTTTACAATGGTGATTAATTTTCAATTGAGGCTGTCGCTTTTTTTTCAGCCTGCGGGGTCTGTCAGCGCCCGTTTGACGCGCGTTTGACGGCCGGCAAATCAGCCGACCATTATCCGCCATCACCTAACCGTTTTTCTATCTCGTCATTCTTTGGATAAATCGAATACCCCACCGCCTCTGCCATTTCGTCGTATTGTTGATGGATAAAGGGACGGTCGACGCTGCTCGTAGGTACACGTTCGTGCTTCTCTCTTATGCTACTATATCCCGAGTGACACCCGCTCTTCTACCGCACTGTTCAGATTTCGGGATAGGCAGCAAGAAACGGTAACGATCCACGATCAACCGCGACAGCTGTTAATGCGCCACGATGAATTCGATTTGACGACCAGAGGGTAACGGTGCGAGACGAAAGAGAGACAGAGAGAACGAAGCCGGTCTCGCAGGAGTTAGGCCCCTGGGTGGAAACTACTGCTTGATTGCGTACGAATGTGACGCGATTTCATGGGTTTCGTCGTGAAAGAAGAAAGAGACGGACAGCGAGACGGAAAAAGGAGAGGAGGAGACGCAAAGCTTTGGCAATCGTCGACGGAGGTACAACGAGGGTGCGAGAATAGGAAGCGCGGCGCGTTTGCCCTTCTTGCCTTCCTTTCCTCGACAGAATCGACAGGTTCAAAGGGATTCTAGGAGGACTGGGGATTCTCTCGTTTGAGGAGCGTGCGACGTGAGCTTTCAGACAATTTCTCAAGCGTGTGCGGGTCACGTCGGTAATGCGAGCGAATACGTCAGCACACGACTGCGCTGATTTACCCTTCGATGCCCGTAGGGTGGTGACGGTCGTGATGTTACATAAATACAGTAAGGGGTGAATTTTGCCGGACTAGCCATCCGAGTTTCGAAACTTTTTGGATTTATTGAATTGGATGAACGCGAAATTATCTTCTCGGAAATAATCATGAGGCAGGTTTTTGATTTTTGCATGAGTTATTATTACCGTAATCACATGTGATTATATGTATTTAAATGATATAAAGAAGCATTTGGTACTAGTACACACATACATAAGAATATCAATTGATTGTAGTATAAGTTATCTCCATGATTAACAGTTGTAAGGCTTGACGCATTTACCCAATTTGTTTCTCAATAAGCCATTTTTGCAGAAACAGCCCTTGACGCACCACTGAAAAAAAAACGAAAAATGAAAGTATAGAAAGTTCATATACACACATAGTTTTTTTCTAAACTTTATAAATATTTAAAATGTTTAAAGTAATCAATGAAGAGAGAGAGAGATTACCACTTTCTTGCATATTGGACGAGGATTCTTGCAGGTTGGTTGGCAGGCGGTTGGCGATCCACATGTCTTATAGATCTCATTCTTACAACATTTCGGTAGTGGAGAAGGAGGAGGAAGTGGTGGTGGTGGTGGTGGTGTCGGCTTGCATTTCTTTGGTGGAGGAGGTGGTAGTGGTGTTGTCGTTGTCGGCTTGCATTTCTTTGGTGGAGGCGGCGGAGGTGGCGGAGGCGGCGGAGGTGGCGGAGGAGGAGGCGGTGGCGGCTTGCATAGCTTTGAGGAAGGATTACTCATGACAGCTATAAAATAAATTGTTATATTTTTGTACTCGATTACTAAAAATATATCGATTTTTATAAAATTGTATAAAAATAAGGTACAAGAATGTATTATTATAAATACATTGATTAGACGTAAAGATGTTAAAAATATTATATATATATACTATAGTGTGTGCGTGCAATTTAAATATTATTTTTGAGTTTATACTTACTGACGCAAATAATCGCTACGAGAAGGAAGAGAACCATCAGATTGCGAGACATGTTGAAAAATTTTTTGTTGCTTGCTGTTCATTAATGGCTAAACAGTTCGAGATTGATGCATGTTGCTAGTTAGAGGCTTTTTTTATACTAGAATTTTTTGCGCATATTGATATTCTTTATTTATTCGCGTTATCAATAGCGTAACTTACAATAGTGACAAAAGAAATCTAAACTTTAGCTTTTTACTGGAGTTGTTACAAATGTGCGGTAGGATGTATGGGCATTTCTTCAACAAAACGCTGCGTACGTGAAGAACTATGTCGTAGCGTGGCACACGTCTTATCGTTTTTCTTCAAATCTTTCCTGTTTTCTTGTCTCATTGTTTTGATATAGAACATGTACTTCAGTTATATTATAAGGTGAATAACTCAATTCGAGACCTTTTTAGTATATAAATAGTGCTTTTTCTAAAAATTTTATTAATATAAACAAGTACTCTTCAAGTTTTACTTCGTCATCTTAATAATATTGCCAATATACAGAAAGAAATGAGAATAAAGATGCAATTTTATATTACGTTCAATTTTGTGCATATATACACATCACATATATCTTTGGAATTTCATAACAATCGCAAAGATTATAAAAGGTACAAATAAAACTGAATTTTTTTTAGATATTGCTAAGATAAAATATATCATGATTTATTTTATTAAAGCACATTATAATTTTAAATATATGCATATTGTATACAAGATTTTTCCATTCAAATAACTAGATGATATATAGTCATGATGTGACTTCTTTATCTTGTATATTTATTTGTGATTTAAACGAGGTCATTGCCATTAATTGCCATTCGGTTTTATTTAAAGCCACGAATGAAATACAACTCCGATAACACTTTTTAATTACATGTCCATATTTGTGATTTAAATAATATCTCATTAGTATTTATATTTGATTTCTTATATGTATATTATGTTATTCTTGGATTGAAAAAATATTTGTACTTTTTCTTCTTGAAAGTCAATAACAGTCCCGCACGTGTTATGCAGATGTATATCAACTACTGTATTTGCTTAATGATAAGAATGAAATAAACTTGTTTTTTATCAATCTTATATTTAGTTAATCTGTTTTCATATATACATATATATATATATATATATATATATATACATGGACATAGATATGTATATTCGCGCCGGTTTAATTTTTCACGTCTTTGGAAGTTTACAACATTCATTAATACAAGTAAAGTTGATGTTTTGAATACTATTAAATAATATATTTTGCTGAAATACGCTTATATTATCAAACATATATATGTTATCCACAATCATATATTTTTTTTTATTTAATCAACGAACTATAGCCCGATGACCTTTCTTACATTGCATATCTATTTGAGACTTAAAGAAGGCATCAATTCAGTTTTACGTTATCTCATTAGCAATATTGAGAATTTAGACAAGTCAAGCAAGAAATTCTTTTCTTTTTCTTGAAAATGTTTATTTCTTTCTTTTACGCTATATCTGTATTTTTGTTATTATATTTTAGTTTATTCATATTATTTGATATTATAATTGTTTCTTGTTTCTTTTCAAAAGTTAGTTAACGAAGAAATAGTTTTATTGCGATTGTCTCCATTACGCTATCGGAAATTTGTATTAATTATTGTAAAGATATTACGAGTTGCATACGAAAATAATTTTGTAGTATCCATTTCATTCGATTCTTTGTCTTGTTAACTTATTGCAACTATTTCTGCGTGCAGTATTTTATTGTCGTAGTATTTTCTGGGGCAGCTGGCCGGTTGGTTCTTTCGTCATTTTAACGACAATGGGACACGTGCCGCGAGGGACAAAGGCAGTCGCATTCTGTAACGTAATATAATCGGTGTATAAACTTCTATAACTGCATTTTAAAAAATCCGTTGAATAACGGTGTTTTTTTTGGATTGAATATATTGTAGGACGCTGATGCGAAACAAGAACAGATGATATTCATTTTGACGGAGACAATGGTATAAAAATTAAGAATAACAATATCTTTTTCAAACACGAAGAAACATAAAAGGCAATAAAGGATAAAGAATTTTTCTATAGAATATCTAATTAAATTGTTACTAAAAGAATAATTAAATGAAGACTTTTGCATAAAAAATGTATTTCTGTCTCTACTTTAGAGGAACTTTATTGCTTTGATCTTCGTATCGTTGAATTATTTCGATTGAGACCCACGCTCTCTTGCATTCGATATTACTTAATTAAATTGTGCATTTGATTTGATGTACATCTCTAATGCACATTAATGTCCATCGAACGGTCCTATCGAAACGATCGTTCCGCGCGCTATCTACTCTAGTAATCTTCTTAACGAAGAATCCACCCCTCCGTCATCATGTGGCGGAGGGAAATACTACTTCCTTGCTAAATCCAATAAGCGGCTATCGGATACGCTTGTCTACTCTCCCGAGAGATGAAATTCGTGACCAATGCGCGTCGCGGGTTGAGGGGACGGACGAAAATAAGAGGACGAGAGAAACAATCCCATTCTGCCCGGCGTTCAGGAGCCAAAAGAGTCCCGGATTGAGGACGGACGAGTGGCAGGTGCGCCCATTTCTAGAATCGAGAGTGTACCGGGACCCTTAATGCGGTATTTCATCGGTCATAATCTTCCCTTCGCGGGACGTCCCTTTGTCCTCGAGGAATAAAAATGCTGTGTGTGGTATGGATGGCTATATCTCTCTCTCTTTCCGGTTCGATTGCGTCCCTCCTAGGAACTTAGACGAAAGAGGATGGATCGTCATATCGATATGTTTCGCAAGACCGTACGAATCGCGAGCGTCAATTGAAATTATTTATTTGCGTCTCTCGCTATTTAGTCAATCGTTAAGTGTCGAGCTGGCACTTATCGCATTCGATAATTGCTCGATCGAAATTAATGTCCTTGGGAGAACACTTCAAATTACATTACGCGTGAGGTATTACAACATGTATTGCATTTATTTGCTATTATTTTATCAGAGTTAGCAATGATAACAAAAAATTTTTAATTTTCTAAGTGATCTTTTGTTTGTGACAAATAATTTATTTATCTACTAAATTGTTCAATTGCATAAATGCGTAAAACAATATGTATTTTTAAAATATACTACGAATGGATCATTTGTGTAATATTTTTTTTATATTAATATTATCTTTATATTAATCTCACTTTCGTGTAATTGGATGATCTAGAAGGAGAGATACATCTTTCTTTTTCTTTTGAACGAACAAGTGTTCGATTAATAGCAAAGTTTTCTCGTGAGTCGTTGGTGCGGGGATAAACGAGAAAAAGAGTGAACTGATATCAACGATAGGAATGACAGAGAAGAACTGAAACCGATCAGAGAAACACGATTGAAAGAGAACTATGTCGCTTCTCTCTATTCACTTTCGTAACTGCGAAACTTCCCCGACGGTCGTCGTCGCTTCTCTAACCGCTTTATCCGCGCTCCACGCTCTTTGTTCTCCAAACATTCCTGTCGCCGGCTTGGAATCCTGAGGAACAAAGCTATTCTGATAAAACGCTATTGATTATTTCGGATATGCTTATGACCAGATAATACACTTTTGGGATAGAATAGTATCGCGAATAACGCAGATTTTATTACTAATGTTGATTAACTCTCTCTCTCTCTCTCTCTCTCTCTCTCTTAATCATATGTTGTGAAAGAACCGTTAAGGAAGCAATTTATGTAATTTTTTTTTCACTCTGTGCGAGATGTACAAGGATTTGGTATAAATTGGGGATATTATAAATTATATGTTTTTGCAAATTTTTTGAAAATATAACATTCGCATTAATAAATGAAGAGAGTAAATTAGCAGAATAGACTTGGTAATTTAACAAAACAGACTATGTCTATGTGCGAAATTATTTCTAGCTGATGACGATGTGTTAAACAACTCTTGGAAATTTATTACGTAATACGGCACGTTTTTAACACAAGTTTTTCTTGTTGTACCTGATAGCTAATGATTGAATTGCAATGATCAATATCATTAATATCCATGAAGAAAAATTCTTTTTGTTTTTGACGTGAGAGAATAATCGAAGAGAGATTATATGCATGATTTTAGATTTCGCGGAAAAGTCCAAGCATCGATAATTTTTTATTTCTAGATCAATGGCAAGCGGTTTTCTATGAATTTTTATGGCGGAAAAACGGGATTATATGCAAATTTTGGAAAAAAGAAATACTCTCGTGCTTTTCCTCCGATCCTTTTCCTCGAATGTGTCGCCTTTCTTCTCTTTTTCCCTGAAAAGTAATTCGAGACGAGTTTCTAGTGGGCCTCGAGAAATGCTTCTCCTGTACTTTTACGTTGGCCGCGTCCCTTCGTTTCGTGAAATTGGAAAGGCACGAGGAGAGCAGCATGGTCCCTGGACGATCGAAGGATCGCTAATGTACCTCGTGGCACGCGAGAATGGAAACTCGAGAGTCAACGAGAAGTGATCGAACGGGAAAGATAAGGGGAGACAACGAAGATGGGAGCAAAAATGGGAAGCAAGATTGGCAGGACGAGAAAACGGATTTGCTAGCACATATACATATATTGTACCTGCTGACGTATTTTGGATGATGAGAGATGAAGAAAGATGGACAAAGATGATTGATTTTTCTCTCTTTCTCTCTTTTTTTGCGTAAGAATTTCTTTTATTTATAAAAATATTGAATATTATTTCGTTGAAGTTGCCTAAAGGTTTAATAAAGAATGGTAATTTGAAGATTTTAATATGAATTTATGCAATCGAGAGAAAAGAGAATAAATAAATAGATGAATATTTTAATTCATTGTGGACAACGATAAGTCACAACTTACTGTTATGTAAATCTGAATTCAATCATCAAAAAAACGGCAGAGATATCAAGAAAAAATTTCGATGCGTATTCTCACTTTTTCTCATGCTTTTTAGCTGAAAGCTAAGCTCGCGAAATACCCCAACAGCTGTCTCACGAGGCGTCTTCTTTTACTTCTTTCCATTCTCGTTTCCCTTCCTTTATGTCGTCGTCCGTCC